TTTGAACGTGATGATGAGTTTAATCCAGTTGACTTCTGTCCTCTACTAACTATCCATCCCAAATTGCCTATTTATTCTCCTTTAGTTTAGATTTTGTGGAATCTGTTCGAATAATTGGTATGTGGGTGTTGGAGATCTGTGTAAAATTGTCTGTAACATTAGCAGAGAGAACTGATTCTGTTTATTATGATTTTTTTCTGTGTGCTTTATGTTTTATGTATTAAATGGGTGGAGAATTATAACTTCCATGGAGGACGCAGAGATAAATCAACTGTAAATAAAGTTAATATCATTTCCTTTCTGCCACGTTGACCAAACATGGAAATAGCTCAATGTTCTTTTTTTTTCAAAAAAAAATGACTTGTTTTAGATGACCATATATTCTACATTGTATGAGAAGCTAAAATTTTTCTTGTGATTATGATGGTAGGAGTAATTACAACTCGAACAGTTACATATCTGTAGAAAAGAGGATTATGTTTTTCTGTTTATTTATCTGATATTGTCTCTGTGGAGAGTATACTACAAGGACTCAGTGTCTCAACTGATTTATTTCATTTATTGTTCCATTCTTACTTGCGTTTTGTGTAAAATTAGGATAGGACTGTATTCAGTTTAACTTACATTCTGATTACCTTTTACGGCAGATTTACCTTGAGCATGGGGCAAAAGCATTTGGTGGTGGCCTTCTGTTTATGGGCTTTAACATGTTCCTCTCTTCCATCTTTCTCCTACGGAATTCTGAAAATTGGTTTGAGGAAGAGACCTCTAGATCTTAATAGTATTCATGCTGCTAGAAAGGCAAGAGAAGGTTTAAGATATGGAAGGCCAATTATGGGTGAACATGATCAGTTTATCGGTAAGGCAAAGGGTGAAGATAGTGTTCCTTTGAAAAATTATTTGGATGCTCAGTATTTTGGTGAGATTGGAATTGGCACACCCCCTCAGACCTTCACTGTTGTGTTTGATACTGGTAGTTCCAACCTTTGGGTTCCATCATCAAAATGCTACTTTTCTGTGAGTTCAACTTAACTTGTATGTTTTTAGAAACATGTACATATAAGGTTATCGTATTGACTAGAATTCTCTCGCAGCTTGCTTGTTATACCCATAATTGGTATAAGCCAAAGAAATCCAGAACATATGTCAAAAATGGTAATTCCTTTTTTTTCATTATTCATGTTGATTAAAGTGGTACTGTGCTAGATGTATGCATTAAATTAAATGATATTCTATACCTTATTGTATGTCATGTAATGTTAGTTTAATCGTCAGTTTGTAACTATCTTGTTGATCAGGAACATCATGTAAAATAAACTATGGATCTGGATCAATATCTGGTTACTTCAGTCAAGATAGTGTTAAAGTTGGCAACGCTGTTGTCAAGCAGCTGGTGAGTACTTTTTTTGTGAGCTTCCACTCAATATATATTTGTAGATAGCTATGCTTACAAATGTTACTACTGTGAACTGTAGGATTTCATTGAAGCTACCCGAGAAGGAAGTCTTTCCTTTCTGTCAGCAAAGTTCGATGGAATACTGGGACTTGGATTTCAGGAGATCTCAGTTGCAAATTCTGTTCCATTATGGTGTGTTTCAATGTTTCTTTTGTTGTTTCATCTGTACCTAATTTCATTATTAGGGCTGTTTCCCTTTTTCGTGCCTTTAACTAACTGACCAGTCCATCATAAAATCACAGGTACAAAATGGTGGACCAAAATCTTATCAGTGAGAAGGTGTTTTCCTTTTGGTTGAATGGGGATCCAAATGCGAAAAAAGGCGGTGAAATAGTTTTCGGTGGTGTTAACCCAAAGCACTTTAAAGGAGACCACACTTATGTTCCAGTTACTGAAAAAGGTTACTGGCAGGTTAGCAAAAACACAATTTATTTTATTAGGAATTCCTTTTAAATACACACACACAGACACATATGTATGTATATTGTATGTATGTATGTATTCACACCAGAAAATTCTTGAGCATGAAAGTTATCTTTTGCAGATTGAAATTGGAGATTTTTTCATTGGAGGTGCTTCTACAGGTGATTTTATTGTTCCTCAACAATAAAAACTTCTATTTTGGGATTTACTAATGGAGTCATTGAGTGGTTAAAATGCTTTGGAATATGGTATAAGGAATGAATCTAGACTGGATTTTTTACTTCCTAATACTTGAACTTGTTTTCAAGAAATGCAGAGTCAACAAACTATATCTTTACATCAATGTTTGTGAAATGAGATTTTTTTCTCTTATTTGTTGCATGTGCTTTGATTAATGTGTTTCTAATTCTGAAACATATCAATGTTTTTTTAGGTGTTTGTGAGGGTGGCTGTGCTGCTATTGTGGATTCAGGAACATCTTTGCTGGCTGGTCCAACTGTATGTGCTTCTATATTTCTGGAGATTTTCTGCTTATTTATTCTTATTTATAACTTCTGTTGACCGTTAATTTCAGCCTGTTGTAGCTGAAATCAACCATGCTATTGGAGCTGAAGGAGTTCTCAGTGTAGAATGTAAGGAAGTCGTTTCTCAATATGGGGAGATGATATGGGATCTCTTGGTATCAGGGGTAGGTATCGAATTGACATGGTTTTTGGCTTGTGATGTTTTTCCCATTTGCATTTTCACTCTTTGGACCTAAATGAGTTTGATCTTGTTCTGTAGGTGAAACCTGATGACATATGTTCCCAAGTTGGTTTATGTTCAGCCAAAAGGATTCAATCTAAGAGGTCAGAAATGTCTATGGCTCTTTTATATAGATGTCTCTACTTTCTGCTTCCCTTGCACTATTTTTTCATCATATTTGTGTAATTGCTAGTTAGTTTGGTAATCATTTGAAGAGATTGGATGAATGTTTGATACTTCTTTCTGATTATTAAGGTTAAAAAGTCAGATGTATCAATTCCATGCATTAGCAAATAAGAAAAGACGAGTTGTTTAAAACAACTGTCAGGGAACCTTAATTATATTGCAATTACCAGCTTAATAGTCTATGATTCTATTCTTTTGTCATTGGGAGAGTTTAGGATTTGACCTCACTCATGCTAAAAGCCTTCTATATTTTGGCAGAAACAGATTCCTAAATTAGTTTGAATTCTATTGTTGTGCAGCCCTGGGATTGAAATGGTAACTGAAAAGGAACAGAGTGAGTTGACAGCAAGAGATACTCCCTTATGTTCATCTTGTCAGATGCTTGTTCTTTGGATCCAGAATCAACTAAAACAAAAACAAACTAAGGACAGAGTATTCAACTATGTGAATCAAGTATGCCCTTCACATTATCCCATCCACAAGCTCAAGCAGTGATATATATATGGTTTAGAGTACTGACATGTGGTTAATGTTTGTTTTGATGATTGGAAGCTGTGTGAGAGCTTGCCAAGTCCCTCTGGAGAGTCAGTGATAAGCTGTAACAGTCTTTCCAAGATGCCAAACATTACATTCACAATTGGAGATAAACCTTTTGTCCTTACACCAGAGCAGGTTAGGGTTTGAACATTCCATAAATTAAATTACATTGTGGCTTTGGTGGATATGATTATACTATTATCTATAGATAGATAGATTAAGGGTAGCAATTTAGTTATTCTCTGTGATTCTAAGAATGTTTTTTGTGGTTTCAGTATATTTTGAGAACTGGAGAAGGCATTACAGAAGTATGCCTTAGTGGGTTTATGGCTTTTGATGTTCCTCCTCCACGGGGTCCATTGTGGTATGTTAACTTGTTAAATTATTTATCCATTTAAGATCACATGTGCACAGTAGAATGTACAGAAGAACCATGAATGAAATGTATTATCCATGTAAGGTTTGTTCCTGAATGGTAGTGTATATGTGTACGCAGGATTCTTGGGGATGTTTTCATGAGGGCATATCACACCATCTTTGACTATGGAAATCTCCGAGTTGGGTTTGCTGAAGCTGTGTGATCAGTAATTATGGTTCTGAAAGATATGTTTGCAATCATTTCAGTAGCTTTTCGTGTAATGTAAATAAGTTGTTGTAACATCGCTAGCTGTTGATGGAATCACGGACGCATTTTATCGTTTTAAGACTTAGGAATAAATTTACAGTTGGAAGTATTGGGTCGAATTATGTGCTCTCTATTCCTTTCAAATTAGGAATACTTGTAATGTGCCATACTCATGCCAAACTTAATCACGCTTTCCTACAACCAGTGCCTGTGCAATGTCTCCAAATTTACTTTACTATCACTATAAATTTTCTCGTTTGCTTTTTTATGTTGTGTTTAGACACAGTTTTAAGGTGATTTATTTATTTGCTTTATACGTTTTAAAATGTTTATCAGATTAGAAGTTTAAAAAAGAAATTATACTTTTTTGTTCTTTCACCTTAGGTTCGGTTTTATTTATGTATATGCTTCTCTTCACTCGTTTTTCTTTTGGTCCTAAATCTTTCTCTCTTCATTCCTTTCCTTCTCTTTTCTACCCGTGTTTTTATATTTTTATTAATATAAAAATGTCTATTTATTTTTTGAATTATTAATCATTTGATGTTGAAATTTAGCTTTTAAATATGTATCTAACTTTTCAGGATTTAGATCTTATCTTCATTACCACTGACAGGATATTTTGTCTAAACATCGCCTATTTTAATTTTAACTTTTACTCCCACAAATTTATATATTCATAATAAAAAAGTGGAACAATTAAACTCCCGAGAGAAATTGAATAACGCCTCCGCGCGTGATAGTAAATGCACATGCCTTGTAGCAAAGCACGTCGAACAAATATGCCCACAACCTAAACTTTTTTCAAAGTCATCTTCGTTTCGTCGATAGTTCTGAGAATAGTACATCACTGCATCTAACCAAAAGCTTTGTAATCACAAATTTACAGCCTTCAGCTTCAAGCTATAAAAGGTTGTTTTACTGTTTTATGCCATCAGTAGTAACGACAACATAATTAATTTTCATCTGCAACATATTCGAAACTACACATCCAAGTTGTTGGCCGTGGCCTAAAATCTCATGATTCAAGTATCACTGGAACTATGGAAACTAACATAACTATTGTACCCAAGTAAAAAATATAAAATCCTTACAAACATAATATTGTCACACAGATAAACAGATAAGATTTTTGGTCTACCAAATTATCGTGAAATTACAAATGTTTTCTTCCTCTTCAACTGAGGATGGTGGCAAATGTTTAATAAAAAAACATCTAATGCAAACCAAACCAGATAAAGGCCACAACATACTGATATGCCACTGGATGAGTAATGTTCCTTTATTCTTCATCGCTATCATTACTAAATATAGAGGAGATCGGGGGGGCACTTTGCTTCTTCGCAACATTTTGTTTCTTGGCACCAAAAGTTATCTGTCAGACATTTTCGAAAAGAAAAAGATATTATTAGCATGCAAAAGAAACACTAAATGGATTGTCAGGGTTGAAAGTGTGCAAGACTTGAATTTGAACAAAACATTATCAAGAACTTGACAATGAGATGTATAAAAACTGTAAGCACTCCAAATTTCCAAGTACTAAGGACAATTTTGTTTTTTTTTTCATACCCTAGACACCAGCTGGACATACCTTGGAACCACTGCCTTTAGACGAAAACCCAAATTTCAAAGTATTTCTCTGCTCCTGATCTGTAAGAGCAGTGGCAGTTCTAGATTCGGAGGACACTGTTCCTGATCCAGAATCTTGTTGCAATTGAAGGCGTTGCTGCTTTTGAGCATCAGCACTGATAGACATTAAGGAAACCAAAAAGCAAGATGACACAACAGAAAGTCGATAAAAAATAGAATATTGACCCCCTGGCCACCCACCCATAATAAAAACAAGGGAAGAAAGGGAATAAAAATAAATGGACTTAGGAGCAAATGGATACATTTGAGCAAACTTTGCCATTTCTTTCTCTTGACGCTGTTGTTCTCGCTTTTGCCTATCATCTCGACTACCACCACCATGCATTTCCTTCATTTGTTTGAATCGCTGTAGTTAACAAGGATTTAGTATTACGAGAGAAAAAATGAGCCAATTTGGAAATCAAATTAACAAAAGCAGAGCCAAGTTACTGTTAGTTAAACTGCTTACCTTTCTGTGATTGTGATCATAAGAGCTCAAGTGTGCTTCAAATTCCATAGCTAATTTGTATTGCTTGTTGCAGAGATCACAATAAAACACCTTTCGGATTTCTTTCACTTCAGTTTGAATTTTTTGCTCACGTTCAGCTAACACCTGAATTTTCATAATGTGCACGAAGCAGGCAGAAGAAGCCACCAGGTAATAAAAACTGCAGGAAATTCTCAAGACCTTCCAAACTTGATGGTTCCTTATGACATACCAATCCGGTCAAAAGACATGCATATATGCTATATGCAGCCTTCTGCTATGAGGGGTGCAGGTTTGAGAAAATATAAACATCAACTCNTAATGCTACTAAAAGTTTAATGAATAGACAAAGAAAATTAAGATAATGGGAGTGAATATAAGGTACCACCGTCTCCATTCCAACTTCAATAGGATTCTGGGCCAAAATTTGAAAAAAATCATGTATTATTATTTATAAAAGTAATAAAAGTATTTCATGATGGAATAGTTGCATTTCTCTTTCTTTTTAGATAAAATGTTTGATTATACATTTTAATTCTTTTCTCCTTTAACAATGTGTTATTAATATGTTAAAAGTTATAGATTTCATTTGCAATTAAATGACTTTATTACTTTTTTTCCAATATTGGTTTGACTGTAATTATTGTTTTTTAATTAAAGACTACTCGCTGTTAACTTTTCAATTGGAATAAAGTTTCATTCAAAGTTGCCACTTTCACAGATACTTGTTTTCTCAGCAGGAACGAACCCAAGGGTGTTTGTGGTGTATTGCCATGTTCTTGCAACCATTGTAATTGCTCTAATAACTTATTTGTCACAGTATTCATCATGACCTCTCACTCCCATTTCTACTACCCTTCAATCTCAGCTCATGTCTTCACTTTCTTTTTCCTTTCACAGCAGAAATTCTTGCTCCTATTACTTTGATATTTTAATTTGATATTTTTGTAGGAATTTATTTAATTTAATATTTTTATGGGAATTAAAGTTGGCAACGCTATTGTCAAGCAGTTGGTGAGTACTTTTTTGTGAGTTTCCACTCAATATATATTTGTAGATAGCTATGCTTACAAATGTTACTACTGTGAACTGTAGGATGATCTCAGTTGCCAATGTTGTTCCATTATGGTGTGTTTCAATATTTCTTTTGTTGTTTCATCTGTACCTAATTTCATTATTAGAGATGTGCTAGTCCAACTATATGTGCTTCGATATATCTGGAGATTCTCTTGGTATCAGGGGTAGGTATCCAATTGAACATGGTTTTTGGTTTGTGAAATTTTTTCGATTTGCATTTTCACTCTTTGGACCTAAATGAGTTTGATCTTGTTCTGTAGGTGAAACCTGATGACATATGTTCCCAAGTTGGTTTATGTTCCGCCAAAAGGATTCAATCTAAGAGGTCAGAAATGTCTATGGCTCTTTTATATAGATGTCTCTACTTTCTGCTTCCCTTGCACTTTTTTTTCATCATATTTGTGTAATTGCTAGTTAGTTTGGTAATCATTTGAAGAGATTGGATGAATGTTTGATACTTCTTTCTGATTATTAAGGTTAAAAAGTCAGATGTATCAATTCCATGCATTAGCAAATAAGAAAAGACGAGTTGTTTAAAACAACTGTCAGGGAACCTTAATTATATTGCAATTACCAGCTTAATAGTCTATGATTCTATTCTTTTGTCATTGGGAGAGTTTAGGATTTGACCTCACTCATGCTAAAAGCCTTCTATATTTTGGCAGAAACAGATTCCTAAATTAGTTTGAATTCTATTGTTGTGCAGCCCTGGGATTGAAATGGTAACTGAAAAGGAACAGAGTGAGTTGACAGCAAGAGATACTCCCTTATGTTCATCTTGTCAGATGCTTGTTCTTTGGATCCAGAATCAACTAAAACAAAAACAAACTAAGGACAGAGTATTCAACTATGTGAATCAAGTATGCCCTTCACATTATCCCATCCACAAGCTCAAGCAGTGATATATATATGGTTTAGAGTACTGACATGTGGTTAATGTTTGTTTTGATGATTGGAAGCTGTGTGAGAGCTTGCCAAGTCCCTCTGGAGAGTCAGTGATAAGCTGTAACAGTCTTTCCAAGATGCCAAACATTACATTCACAATTGGAGATAAACCTTTTGTCCTTACACCAGAGCAGGTTAGGGTTTGAACATTCCATAAATTAAATTACATTGTGGCTTTGGTGGATATGATTATACTATTATCTATAGATAGATAGATTAAGGGTAGCAATTTAGTTATTCTCTGTGATTCTAAGAATGTTTTTTGTGGTTTCAGTATATTTTGAGAACTGGAGAAGGCATTACAGAAGTATGCCTTAGTGGGTTTATGGCTTTTGATGTTCCTCCTCCACGGGGTCCATTGTGGTATGTTAACTTGTTAAATTATTTATCCATTTAAGATCACATGTGCACAGTAGAATGTACAGAAGAACCATGAATGAAATGTATTATCCATGTAAGGTTTGTTCCTGAATGGTAGTGTATATGTGTACGCAGGATTCTTGGGGATGTTTTCATGAGGGCATATCACACCATCTTTGACTATGGAAATCTCCGAGTTGGGTTTGCTGAAGCTGTGTGATCAGTAATTATGGTTCTGAAAGATATGTTTGCAATCATTTCAGTAGCTTTTCGTGTAATGTAAATAAGTTGTTGTAACATCGCTAGCTGTTGATGGAATCACGGACGCATTTTATCGTTTTAAGACTTAGGAATAAATTTACAGTTGGAAGTATTGGGTCGAATTATGTGCTCTCTATTCCTTTCAAATTAGGAATACTTGTAATGTGCCATACTCATGCCAAACTTAATCACGCTTTCCTACAACCAGTGCCTGTGCAATGTCTCCAAATTTACTTTACTATCACTATAAATTTTCTCGTTTGCTTTTTTATGTTGTGTTTAGACACAGTTTTAAGGTGATTTATTTATTTGCTTTATACGTTTTAAAATGTTTATCAGATTAGAAGTTTAAAAAAGAAATTATACTTTTTTGTTCTTTCACCTTAGGTTCGGTTTTATTTATGTATATGCTTCTCTTCACTCGTTTTTCTTTTGGTCCTAAATCTTTCTCTCTTCATTCCTTTCCTTCTCTTTTCTACCCGTGTTTTTATATTTTTATTAATATAAAAATGTCTATTTATTTTTTGAATTATTAATCATTTGATGTTGAAATTTAGCTTTTAAATATGTATCTAACTTTTCAGGATTTAGATCTTATCTTCATTACCACTGACAGGATATTTTGTCTAAACATCGCCTATTTTAATTTTAACTTTTACTCCCACAAATTTATATATTCATAATAAAAAAGTGGAACAATTAAACTCCCGAGAGAAATTGAATAACGCCTCCGCGCGTGATAGTAAATGCACATGCCTTGTAGCAAAGCACGTCGAACAAATATGCCCACAACCTAAACTTTTTTCAAAGTCATCTTCGTTTCGTCGATAGTTCTGAGAATAGTACATCACTGCATCTAACCAAAAGCTTTGTAATCACAAATTTACAGCCTTCAGCTTCAAGCTATAAAAGGTTGTTTTACTGTTTTATGCCATCAGTAGTAACGACAACATAATTAATTTTCATCTGCAACATATTCGAAACTACACATCCAAGTTGTTGGCCGTGGCCTAAAATCTCATGATTCAAGTATCACTGGAACTATGGAAACTAACATAACTATTGTACCCAAGTAAAAAATATAAAATCCTTACAAACATAATATTGTCACACAGATAAACAGATAAGATTTTTGGTCTACCAAATTATCGTGAAATTACAAATGTTTTCTTCCTCTTCAACTGAGGATGGTGGCAAATGTTTAATAAAAAAACATCTAATGCAAACCAAACCAGATAAAGGCCACAACATACTGATATGCCACTGGATGAGTAATGTTCCTTTATTCTTCATCGCTATCATTACTAAATATAGAGGAGATCGGGGGGGCACTTTGCTTCTTCGCAACATTTTGTTTCTTGGCACCAAAAGTTATCTGTCAGACATTTTCGAAAAGAAAAAGATATTATTAGCATGCAAAAGAAACACTAAATGGATTGTCAGGGTTGAAAGTGTGCAAGACTTGAATTTGAACAAAACATTATCAAGAACTTGACAATGAGATGTATAAAAACTGTAAGCACTCCAAATTTCCAAGTACTAAGGACAATTTTGTTTTTTTTTTCATACCCTAGACACCAGCTGGACATACCTTGGAACCACTGCCTTTAGACGAAAACCCAAATTTCAAAGTATTTCTCTGCTCCTGATCTGTAAGAGCAGTGGCAGTTCTAGATTCGGAGGACACTGTTCCTGATCCAGAATCTTGTTGCAATTGAAGGCGTTGCTGCTTTTGAGCATCAGCACTGATAGACATTAAGGAAACCAAAAAGCAAGATGACACAACAGAAAGTCGATAAAAAATAGAATATTGACCCCCTGGCCACCCACCCATAATAAAAACAAGGGAAGAAAGGGAATAAAAATAAATGGACTTAGGAGCAAATGGATACATTTGAGCAAACTTTGCCATTTCTTTCTCTTGACGCTGTTGTTCTCGCTTTTGCCTATCATCTCGACTACCACCACCATGCATTTCCTTCATTTGTTTGAATCGCTGTAGTTAACAAGGATTTAGTATTACGAGAGAAAAAATGAGCCAATTTGGAAATCAAATTAACAAAAGCAGAGCCAAGTTACTGTTAGTTAAACTGCTTACCTTTCTGTGATTGTGATCATAAGAGCTCAAGTGTGCTTCAAATTCCATAGCTAATTTGTATTGCTTGTTGCAGAGATCACAATAAAACACCTTTCGGATTTCTTTCACTTCAGTTTGAATTTTTTGCTCACGTTCAGCTAACACCTGAATTTTCATAATGTGCACGAAGCAGGCAGAAGAAGCCACCAGGTAATAAAAACTGCAGGAAATTCTCAAGACCTTCCAAACTTGATGGTTCCTTATGACATACCAATCCGGTCAAAAGACATGCATATATGCTATATGCAGCCTTCTGCTATGAGGGGTGCAGGTTTGAGAAAATATAAACATCAACTCGATACTACTATGTGGGTTTTGCACTAAGACCAACTACTAAGGAATGATAAATCATACCTCCCGCTTCTTCACATGTTCTTCTGTCTCTTCCAATTCAACATCAAGTTTTTTTCTCTGGATATTTTCTTCTGCAGTAAAGAAATCATCTTCTTCTTGCTTACCAACTCCAAGTCTTGGATCTCTAATCCCAGATTTAATTGGCTCGGTGATTCCTGCACACATGCCACGTCAATTT